AGGTGGAAATGGGTATTAAACCACTTTGCTTCTTCCCCCAAACTGTTTCTTCCTAGGTAGTTTCTCTAGTATGAGTTAAATCAGATCTTGGAGAGCCACTGAGAGAAAAATATCTGGGGCAGAGCAGTTTTGGGAGACAAATTATGGATTAGTGAAAATATTGCCGCTCCACTCCTGCCTATGCTTTAATATTACCCCCCACCACTGCTTTACGAGAAATGACCATCAATCTGATACTGAGACACAGGTCTTCCGCCACCACATCTATTTTGTTCTTGAGAAACAGTATAAATTTCATTTGCAAAAAGAAAACCACTACTAATCCATCAGAGAAAATGCCTCCCCCCTAATATGACATATGTGATGTGATGCTTGCTGCACACAAACACTTGCCAGTACATTTCAATGGAAGGTACTATCTCTATAGCGACAAGAGCCTTCAATTAAATGTGTAGGAAATAATCTGTACAGGACCTTTGTGCATGCACTGGAGTATGCAAGGGGCTCTGGACCAGCATGCTGACTTTTATAGGAAAGCAAAGAATACTGGCAGGTGAAATACTACGTACCCATTCTGATGTATGAAGAGCTTGCTGGTTTGATGCTGCTCCATAGCTGGGGAAAACAGTTTGCCGCACTTCTTCCAATACTAAAAAAACCACAAAAGTGTTGTTACAGTTAGTGATAACAGCCATCGACAGCTCTTCAGCTGAGAGAGTAATCCTCTTCTTTGCATTTGTTTATGACTCTGTTGTATTGCAATTTGATCCTGTGGCTAAAATAAATAATAATACACATTTATCTGTGCCCATGACCTATACCCCTGTGATCGTACATCTACCAACAGTACTGGTGTCACATTACCTATTGTGGAACTGTACGGGCAGAAGTATCACATTCTTATCCTGCTTTTCTTCCACCATGAAACTGAAGGCACTGTAGGTTAAACCGGAGGTCTCTTATTGAGGTATGTAAAACATCCGTGCTGCTGTACTGTGTCTTTTCCAACTGTACTGTACAACTTCTGGCATAGTACATTAGAAAAACTGGCCATTTTTGGAAGACTCATCTATGTATATATATAAAAGAAAGTCCCCTCACCGTAAAATCAATGCCCAGGCCAAACCACTGGACCTAGAGACACCAAATTCAGGGAGAGCGCTCCTGCCATGGCGTAGGTGCTCGCTAAGAAGGCATTTTTATGAATTCGACCCTTTAGTGGGTGAAAAGGGGGGAAATGTGCTCCCCCATTGATTCCTAGGCAGCTGCCAGGCAGCTGCCTCTCTGCACCCCCCACTCTCTGATTGGTCATTTGCAGAGCTCAGTGTTCTGAGGTAAAAAACCCACAACATTTACAGGAGACTGCAGAGAGCTAATGATAGTTGATGAAATCAGGAGTGGCCAACAACCACCTGTGAGGTGAAGCAAAGCTGCTGGTCAAGCCTCTCTGATGGCTTCCAACACACTCCCCCCACCTCCTATGCCTAACAGGCAGTTGTCTGTCAGGTGCAGTCCCACCTTCACAGTGACTTCTAATACTCCTCCCCCCATCCCCCTTCTACACTGGACAGGCAGCTGCCTGTCAGGTGTAGGAGAGGAGGTGGAATGGCTTCCAACACACTCCCCCAACCTCCTACACCTAACAGGCAGTTGTCTGTCAGGTGCAGCCCCACTTCCATAGTGGCTCCTAATACTCCCCCTCCCTCCCCCTCCTACACTGGACAGGCAGCTGCCTGTCAGGTGTAGAAGAGGAGGCTTCCAACACACTCCCCCTACCTCCTACACCTAACGGGCAGTTGTCTGTCAGGTACAGCCCCACCTCCACAGTGGCTTCTATTACTCCCCCCCTCCTCTCCTACACTGGCCAGGCAGCTGCCTGTCAGGTGTAGGAGAGGAAGTTGGATGCCTTCAGCTGCCAGGGAGGTTTGCTCAGCCTTAGCACTGCTGCTGCTGGCCCAGCATCCCTGATGCCTTTAAATACAATCCCCCCCCCAGCACCAGACAGGCTGGTGTCTGTCAGGTGTAGGAGCAGGGCCAGGGTATTAATGTTTATGGGGAGATAGTAAAGGACATTTCTAGGAGCCATTTCGATGTGTGCCTCCCTCATGAACCTGAAGAAATGTCCACCACATCATCACTCCCTCACACCAACTCCCCCTCACACCTCTCACCTCTTACTGCCCCCAAGAAAGCTCCTGGGAAGTGCTACAAGGAGGAGGCAACTTAGGAATGCAGCAAAGACATTTGCACATAGTAGTCCTACAGTGTACTGAGATGCACAGGCCAAGTACCAGCAAGATCACCCTGAGGTGATCAGCAAGATCTCCATATGAGTAAAACAATCCAGGAGCACAAGTAGAGAGGCCATCACTTTCATGGAAGGTAGCAGGAGTTGACTTAACAGACCACTGCTTCTTAAATGGACAGTTCTATGTGGCCTGCTCCAGAGTGAGCTCACCAAGCAGCCTGGTGATCCTAGCACCTGAGGGCAGAACCACCAATGTGGTCTAGAGAGAGGTCCTTCAGTACAGAAAAAAAGGACGTATGTCTCACTTCATTTCTTACACTACAATCTTCTCTGTTAGAATTCCTACAACAAATGTCACATTTCAGATTTCACATCATCAGTATTATAACTGGATATGCGGAACTTAAATATCGTAGCAAAGCACGGGTAGCAGGCTAGTTTTATATAAGTTGTTTTATTGTTCAATGAATCATATACCTTACTCAGAGGTACTCACTCAGCGGCTTGCACATTCACAATTACCAAAACCCAAAAGAGCCACATGACTACTGTATGCCCTGTGCACCACCCCACAACGCACACACACAATAATAAAGATATGTGTTAAATATGCAACCATAACCTTAGGTGCATCCACATGATTTTCCAGGCCCTTTACTTCCATCCATAGAATGGAGCCTGTAGTTAACCCATCCTCCAGTTCCTCAGGCATCAGCTGTATCTCAGCTTCGGATTCTCAACCTCAAAACTCTTTATACTTAAAATTACTAGACTACTAAACTTTACCTCTTTGACCATACTGCAATGCCTAGTTGTGACATTGTTTTGATATAATTTAATGGGACACAAGTTATTACTTCATTGCATCGGCTCATTTTTATATTTAAATAAACACAAGGGTTACAGGTACTACATTGAGCTTGTTGACAACAAAGTAAAATTACTAGTAATATATTGGTTTGCAAACTATGTATGATGTCTATGCTATTCTGTAAGTTTTAAACTACTGACTATTACCTTTGAGAAAAAACTAATAAAAATAATTATTAAAAAAAAAGGTAGGAACCAACGGCCAACTGCAAGCCCCACTGGCCAGTAGCCTTGCCCACTTTTTTGGAACATGGTGCAGTTGCCACATTAGGGGATGGTGCTTAGAACAGTCACAGGTAGCATGTCAGAGAGCCACATTTGGCTCCTGAGTCACTGAGTATCACTGATCTGTTCATTCAAAGATTTAGAAAACGCGCACAGAACATTCAGACTGATGACCTAGCCCTACAATCACATTTTCACATGCTTCATATGAAGTGGGTAGGTTGGGAAGTGTCCAGGGAAGCTGATCTAAGCCTCTACTCCTCTGGATACTCCTGCAGTCCTACCCATTGCTCCAGCACCATGAGGTAGTCATCTGTCCCCTCTTCCTTTCTTGTCTTTGAGTCATATCAAATTATTCCTCATGGAGAGATGGCAAGATGGATCTTTGGTTTAGTTCCATGATAAGGTATTTCTTTAAACAGCAAGCAAACAAAATCCCTGACTTTTATAGTATCATAACAAAGAAAGGGAATCTCTCCACCAGTGTTCCCTCTAAGCCGAGTTCGTGTGAGCTAGCTCACAGTTTTTTAGCCTCCAGCTCACACATTTTTGTCTTAGCTCAGGAAGGATGGCTCCAAAGCAAACTGATTTATGCAGTAGCCAAGTCACTTGCTCACAACTGTAATGCCAGTTGCTCACAAAGTTGAATTTTTGCTCACAAGAATCCGCAGCTTAGAGGGAACATTGCTCTCCACCACCACTTCTGTTCCTTTGACATGCAGAAATGTAATAAACAGAGCGTTTCTGGAGAGAAAGAAAAAATTGGGCAAGGGGAGCTTTTGGCCAGGCACTTGAACATTGAAGGCCCAGTGTCAGGGCTAGTTTAAAAGACAAAATCCTCTGACAGTTATGAAGGAAAACCAGTGAAGGTCAGGGCTGAGAGGAAGAAGCCAGAAGGATTAGCTCTGGGTTGGGAAATACTTGGAGATTTTCAGAGTGGAGCCTGGGGAGACCAAGATTTGAGGGGGGAGAGGGGCCACAGCAGAGTATGATGCCATAGAGCTCACCCTCCAAAGCAGCCATTTCCTCCAGGAAACTAATATCTGCAGTCTGGATATCAGCTGTCATCCTAGGAGACCTCCAGACCCTACCTGGAGGTTGGCAACTCTGGTTAGGAAGTGGGTATCCATGCAAAGCTGGCCATGATAAAAAACAAAAACGGTAGGGACCTAACAGAAGCAGAAGAGATTAGGAAAAGATGGCAAGAATACACAGAAGAACTATACAAGAAAGACCTTGATGTCCTTGACAACCACGACGGTATAATCACTGACCTCGAGCCAGACATCCTGGAATGTGAAGTTAAATGGGCCTTAGAAAGCATTACTAACAACAAAGCTAGTGGAGGTGATGGTATTCCAGCTGAGCTATTCAAAGTCTTAGAAGATGATGCTGTTAAAGTGCTGCACTCAATTTGCCAGCAAATTTGGAAAACGCAACAGTGGCCACAGGATTGGAAAAGGTCAGTATACATTCCAATCCCAAAGAAGGGCAATGCCAAGGAATGCTCAAACTATCACACAATTGCACTCATATCACACGCTAGCAAGGTCATGCTCAAGATCCTACAAGCTAGGCTTCAACAGTACATGGATAGAGAACTGCCAGAAGTACAAGCTGGGTTTCGAAGAGGTAGAGGAACGAGAGATCAAATTGCCAACATATGCTGGATTATGGAGAAAGCAAGAGAGTACCAGAAAAACATCTACTTCTGCTTCATTGACTATGCTAAAGCTTTTGACTGTGTGGATCACAACAAACTATGGCAGGTCCCCCCATCACTCCTTGGCAAATAGAAGGGGAAGTCGTGGAAGTAGTGACAGACTTCACGTTCCTGGGATCCCAGAACACCTGCGAGAGTTGGACTATAAGGAAGGCCGAGCGCCGAAGAATAGATTCTTTTGAACTATGGTGCTGGAGAAGACTCTTGAGAGTCCCTTGGACTGCAAGAAGATCAAATAAGTCAATCCTAAAAGAAATCAACCCTGACTGTTCCCTGGAAGGCCAGATAATGAAACTGAAGCTCAAATACTTTGGCCACAAAATGAGAAGGGAGCCCTCACTGGAGAAGACCCTGATGCTGGGAAAGATTGAAGGTCAAAGAAGACGGGGACGGCAAAGGATGAGATGGTTAGATAGTGTCAAAGATGCAACGAACATGAAATTGAGCCAACTTCAGAGGACGGCAGAAGACAGGAGGGCCTGGCGGGAGCTGGTCCATGGGGTCACGAAGAGTTGGACTCGACTGTGCGACTGAATAACAACAACAACAAAGCAGTCCACCTTAAACACCAAACATACCTACCTCTAAAACTCATTTCTTATACATTAAGATTTTCTACAATAACACATTACGACTAGTATTTTAATACTAATTTTACTCAAATTTTGTCTTAGATATCTTTAGCCATCCTTTACACTGTTACAACAATACTGAACTGTCTTAAAATCACATTACAAGGTTTTGAGGTTTACAAAATACTAAGTAATAACTACCTTGTAGTATGTATTTCCCTTAACATTTAATTTTAAATTTCAATTTTTCTTAGGTTTTATATCATTGTCTCCTTAAATTCCATTTTGAATGACGTTTAACCTGCTGTAGCAGTCCACCTTAAACAGTCCCACCCCTTTTTTTCCTTCTTCTTGAATTCCCAATGTTTTTTCTTTGGGGGTCGAGGGTTGCTCCTATAATGTTCCATTATAGGGGTAGAGCCCTCTCCTTGTTTGCTTACTATAGCCAAAAAGAGTGTGTTAGACATGCTTGGAATTATTTTCTGGTCCTCCATCTTGATATCTTGTGGTTCTTTTACTTCAATAAGGAATGCGACTAAATTCTCTATTTTTGCATTAGACAGTTTAATCTCTGTTATTTCCACCTCCTCCAATGTCGACTCTTCACTCAGATCTTTTGGTTCATCTAGGGATTGTTCCAACAAACTTTCTACTTGATCATGGTATGGGAAAGCTTCTGGACACATATATTTCAAAAATCATATGATACGAAGATCATTATTGACAACCTGGGAAAAGATCCGCCCGATGGTATATACTAAAATTCCAAGATGGGTGTCTCCAGTGGAAGCCTTTTCTCAACCAGTATTGACTTCAAAGCAAACTGCTATCAGATACACAGAATTGCTAGACGATAGAAACAATCTAAAGTCTGAGGAAGAATGAAAGAAAAGGGAAATAAATTTAGATTGGTGGACCAGAGTACAAGTGGAGAGCCTGTGGAGGATGGAGTTTTGGGATATGCTGCCATACAGTCTGCCCTCCAAAACCACTGTTTTCTCCAGGGGAACCAGTCTCTCTAGTGTGGAGATCAGTTCTAATTCCAGGAGTACTTCAGTCCCCACATGGAAGTTAGCAACCCTAATTATAACTCAAGAGCTTTACCCTGTAGTACTGCAGTATTCTTATGTTTACTACTAATATCCTTTGTCTTATGGAATGTGAATATCAAGTTGACTAAATCTGTTTCATTTAAAGAAAATTTGTATAAAATGTTCTATAGATGGAACCTAACCCCACATAGATTAGCTAAAATGTATAAAAACTTGAGTAACAGATGCTGGAAATGTAATAATCATGATGGATCATACTATCATATGTGGTGGACATGTAAAAAGGTTCATAAATTCTGGATTGGAGTACATACTCTTTTACAATCAGTGTTGAATATTACAATAGCTTTTAAACCAGAAATATTTTTCTTAAACTGTTTACCAGATGACTTAGATAAGAACCATAGATACTTGATTTTACAGCAGCTAGAATCTTATTTGCAACAACATGGAGAACATTGAAAATCCCAATGCTTAATGAGTTGATAATGAAGATTATGGAATGTGCTGAAATGGACAGATTGACAAATACACTAAAAGGAAAAATGGAAGAATTTATGGAGGGTGTTCTATGACTGGTTAAAGAAAAAATTCTGAGAAACTAAGACTAAATGAAGAACATATATGTATATATCTGTATTCTTTCTTTTCCCTTTCCCCCTTTCTATATATAAACTAATAAAACTTTATAAAAATATCCTTTGACTGAAATTAACTTCCATGTTTATAAAATACAGCTGCAGATACACTGTAGAATCTGACTGCTACAAAAAGCAGAAAATTTCAAACTAACTTTCACGAGATTCATTCATGACCCACTATTTACCATCTAATGATGACTAGGACCTTTTTTGCACAGCTATCTGCTTCAGGTTCAATGTTTTTGGGAATCAGTCCCGCCCCTCCCCCACTTCTTCACAGCATTGTGGTGTGTTCATGTACCTCCTGGGGTTTCCCTGTCTTTTCTCCAATCATTCTCAAATCTGCTTTGCTCCTAAGCTTTAAGAAAGAACACAGTAAAGCCTGGATGACTGCTGTGTGGGTGGGAAAGTTAGGATTTTCTGGCCCACATGGCAACCATTTCCCCTGACCCTGTCTCCACAGCAGCCATCTCCTCCCCTCGCCATGGGGTGTGTGTGTGTGGTGGATTTAATTTTTAAAGAAATCAGCACTACAATATAGTTGTATTGATATACCATTGTACAACAACTCCCTGACTTTTCAGATTTCATTTTTTAAAAATAGTAAGGCTCTAGCTTCTTCCTTTGCAGAGACATAAGGAAAAAGGCATATCTTCACCTGGGAAGAAGCTACAGAGTTACTTTTCTTCAAATGAGAGCTGGGAATTCAGAGAACCTGCTACACCTATAGTTACAATAGTATATTGATATTCTAGTGCCAATTTAAAAATACGATTGCAAAAGCCCTGGCAGTCTAGGGGAGGTGGGGATAGTCACTTCTGGTGGATTGGGACACGGAAACTGCAGAGATACCTGCTATGTGGAATCCCCATTGCTGCTGCATTTTATCTGCAGCCACACCAGCAACAGGGAAAGCACAAAATCCCATCTCTGTGTGGAAGTCACCTAGACTTGGGGAGCTAAATATAGTGTACATACCATGGGTTCATCTGTGTTTTTCTGGAACTGAACTAATCGTACTCTTGTTACATTCTCCATGTCCAAGTCACCATTGATGCTTTCAGGAGAATCTCCATTTAAATATGGAGAGGTGGGAGGAGGTGTAACTCTTAATGCTTCATCACTGTAAACTTCATGTGCCACCACATCATGAGTTTGAAGTAAGGCCTGTAAAAAGACAGTCATCAGATTCCATAGTCTCTTGAGCCTATCCTACATTTACAGAGATTTAACATATCTTATACATATAATGACAGTTTTTCAGACTCATATAGCAACCTTTAGGCCAGATTTCTGAACTCAAAACAATATTGTTGTACGACATATCTGAAACATAGATGCTTATAATGTACTTTTTATATTTAAATATAGATTTATAAACCCAGAACAAGTAGCAGAACAAGTAGCAGAAAATATGTCTTCCATAGGATCCTTGACATAAAGTGAAAATAAGAAATATGAAAGGAAAGAGCGAATCTCATAATGTGCACTACAGATCTAGCTAGTTTATTTCAGAATAAACTAAGCTGGTTCCTGAACTTCCCTTCTGCATTTGACTACGCCACAATCTTGGCAGCGGTTGATCACAACCACAGTTTTGACTGTTATCTTCTGATCCTCATCTACTTGACTCCACTGGAAACTTACCAGGAACTGTCTTTAGGACAAACAACTCTGAACTATTTCTCCTGTGTGAGACTGTATGAAGCGGTAGTTCCCAACTTTGGAATCTGGGGGGGGGGGGAGACACTCTTAAGAGTGTCAGTTCTATAAACTACAAAGAAAGAGTAATTCAAGATGATGACTAGCTGTTTTTTTAAAGCTAGGTCTTTTCACTGGAGCACGTGGAGGGGAAGAGAAGACTCCAACTCAGCATGTCAGCAAGACTTATGTCAGCCACTGTAGTACCTGTGGCCTCAGTGTTTACTCCAGTAGGACAATCTCCAGGAGTTTATTCCTGCATGAGATGTTGTGGATGGCCCATCATTGGGTCCTTAGTTTTATCTACATTCTTTTGCATCTTTTATTACCACAGCTGGATGCTTAAGAGGAGCCAGTTCCTAGCACTGGGTTCTATCTAGGCCGTCAGTCAGACTCACATAGCCTCTAGCATGTGTTTTTCTAAGGAGGTAACACTACAAAAGGACAAATGCGCATGTCATGGTGTGTTACTATATTCACAGATACACATAGGCTACTGTGGGAGGAGTTCCAGCTCTCTTCCAAGGGGACTGTGGCAAAGGCCTGGATACTAGTAGTCCTGGCTGCCAGTTGGAAATTTATTTGAAGGTGGTTATTTTTACTATATTTATAGTCTACCTTTTCCAATGAGATTCAAAGCAGAGAATGCAAAGTCAGTAAAGAAGAGAGTACTTTCTGCCCCTCATGGGTTTGCCAGTTTACTTAGCCTTCGACAGGATAAAGGAATTTTTTTCTTCTGTTCAGTACACCTGAAGGAATGGGAGTAACCTTGTTCAAGCTTTAAGGGGCTTTTGTGTTTGCCTTGCAGGACCTTGGAAGGTTTTAAGTCACTGCTTGCCTGTTTTGTGGTTCTTTCTAACAACATGAGAATCATTCTGTCACAATTCTGGATTATGGCCAGTATAAACATGCTGCTATCAGCCTAAGGACTCAGCACCCTTAGAGACAATAACTGCATCCTGCCTTAGGGCTCCTCCAGTAGCATACAGGGCTTTTCTTGTGGGGGTGGGTCTGTATGCTGGGCAGTCTCATAAAACCAGTTCATCTTTGCCTTGGTTCTGATAATTTCTCTGGATGCTGTTTCTTGGCAGAAAGGTGTACTTACTAGAAAATGTAGTTTAAGTAGTATATGGTTCCACCCTGGGCTTGACGACTTTTCTATATCCCAGAAGTACAGACTGACCTACTGCTTACCACCAGAGAAAGAAAAAATGTTCACTTACTGTGAATTTCCATTCTCAGTGATACAGGGATTGGTCAGTCTCTACTCCCTTATTCTTTGAACTATAGTATCTTTAGGTAAGGTTGTTAATATGCTAACCTTTGGGGTGGTTTATGTGGTAATAGCCTGCAGAGATACTAAAGGATTTATGAAACCTGATATGTCTCTTTAGCCGTACTCCTTTTCATTGTTTACTTGGGCAATCAGGCTGCTGGACTATTTGTTTAATGCATACAGGGTTTTTTCCCCCTAGTAGGGGCTTTTCCAGGAGATGGTCTGGGGATTGCTGAGAAAACCCCCTCCCCCCTGGGAGTCTCCAAGAGCCAAGACCCCGACTGTAACCAGAGGGGGTGCTTTCCTAGATGTACAGACCTCTATACCACCACCAATGGAAATTTGTTGTTCATTATTATCCAAGAATAGCAGTTCTCTCCAAAGACTGGATTCTGGATAAGAGGAAAGGCCCAATCCATTGGAGGTTCTCTGTAATCTAGCAGTAATGATTATTTATTTATTTAGGATCTCTGCTGCCTCTTCAGAGTCCTGCTAGGGGCAGTTTACAATTGAATCCACAGTGCAATATTAAAAACTAGCCACATAAACAGAATAAAAAACTATCCATAAAACAGAAGCAGGTCATTAGAAAGCTGGTAAGGTTAACCCCCTAAATAAAACCCTGTAAAAAAGATGTTGTGACAGAAACTGTAAAACCTTACTAGGGCTCAAGAGTGCCACCAGAGCATCTGGGATCTTGGACCCTTGGGGTTTACATCACAATAACCAATTCATTTCCATTCCACACTGGTCCACCTGGCCAAACTTAATAATGTTTAGACAACAGAACCAGTTGGGATGAGACCCACTGTTTGTCATGGAAGTTCAGCATTATTAACAGCTACCTGGTGGGAGGGTCTATCATTTCTGTAATTTTCTGATTGGTTATGTCAGCCTCTGACACCACAGATGGGGATTTGCATGGGATTGGCTAAATCAGCTGATCACTGTTAGAGAGGAGTGTGGCTTAGGTCAGATTCCATTGACCATAAAGACATTTGGGATTTTTCCATCTTCAGCAGATAGTGGAGTCCACAGGAGGTTCGGTAGGGGTTAAAGACTCCTCTAGCATCTTGTTACTTCAAGGAATTCTGCAGGTTTTGAGGAATCTGCTACCATCTAGGTAAAGTGTAACTAGCTATTAGACTGACCTTATGGCTTTTATTTTAACATCTGTGTGCTGTGTTTGTGTGCCTCTTCCCTCTAATTTATTTTTTGCCCCTTCTCTACCCCTTTTCAATCCAATCACCCTTTTCCTTTCTTTTCTGTTTTTTCTTTGCTTTTCTTCTTATAAAACCTTTTTTGGCTTCGTTTCAGTAGTGCATATTTCTCTTAATCTCTTCCCTGCATACAAGACTGAATGGACACTGCATAGTTTTCCATACGGTATTTTCTGGGGTTTATACCTTGTTTTTTCTTTATTTATCTAGTACTGTGCTAGAAGGAACTCTTGAGTGAGGTCCTCTGAGTAGTGGCGGTTGTTACAAGGCTATTTCCAGGGAACCCTTAGTCTAAGGGAATTTCCAGCAAAAAAAGGCTCCTTTCCCCCTCCCTTTCATCACAGATGTATTTTGGCTTGGCACCTAGAAGGAAGGTAGGCACCAGAAAAGCCCCAAGGGCATTCCAGAACCCAGAAAATGCTTTGTCTCTAGGCATCCACCCACCTTGCCTCTGAAGATAGAAGCACAAAAAGCAGAGGTTGGGAGGCAGATCTCAACTGCTGGCCTGGATAGTGTGGGAGGAGACAGTTCTTCAGGTACCCTGGCACCAAGCCATTTAGGGCCTTAAAAATGAGAATTGGGCCCAGAAACAGGTGGGTAACCAATGCAGATCTTTCCAGCAAAGGGATGACTGTTAAATAGGATGGAGATGGCTCTACTTACCCTTACAGATGAATTCTGTAGACATCTGTATTAGGGCAGGTCAGTGCTGCTGCTGCTTCTAGATCTAATGGCAGTATTTGACATGGTCAACTACAACCTGTTGACCGACCGCCTCGCCGATGTAGGAGTTCAGGGGATTGCCTTACAATGGCTTTCCTCCTTTCTCCATGGTAGGGGAAAGAAGGTGGTATTTGGTGAGAAGGTCTCCCCATGATACCCAGTGGAAAGTGGAGTGCCACAGGGGGCAATCCTCTTGCCAATGTTATTTAACATCTATATGCGCCCCCATACTCCGTTAATCTGGAGGTATGGGCTGGGTTGTCACCGATATGCAGACAACACCCAGCTCTATCTGTTATTGGACAGCCATCTGTCCTCCGCCCCTGAAAATCTGGCCAAGGCTCTGGAGGCTGTGGCTGGATGGTTGTAGCACAACCGGTTGAAGCTTAATCCACTGAAGGTGGAGGTCCTGTACCTGAGTTGGGGGGGACACACAACACTAATGGCTTACTTCTGTTTTATGGATATAAAACGATAGATTATAGATAGATACAGATCTAATATAGATACATATAGATAGAGATATATCTAATATAAATATATAATATTCAAAGTTCTTCTGGAAAAATGCATCAGTTTAGAACACACAGGGTTAAATTTTATGCCTCTGTTTTACTAATGGTAGAGCTTGCACAAAGCTTCTTGTGCTGGAGGAAATCTAAGCAGTTAGCAGAATGAAGTAATAAGATCCAACCCAAAAGATGTAAGGAAATAGTAAGTGTTCCAGAAATGACTAAACACCAGGTGTATTGGAATGATTAATAATCTTAGGGAGGGGGGAGGAGTCCATGAAAGTTTCAGTGGTAAGTTCCACTGGAACTATGTTCCCAATTAGCCAATACATAATAATGGGTTGGATCCCACAGAACATTTCTGCATGTGCAGTCCTTGGGCAAACAGAAGAACTAAAATAACTTCTTCCGTTTGCTTGTATAAAGTGAAAGTGATTGTATCCTTACTATCTTTTCCACGTGTGTCAGACACAAAACCAAGGTATTTCTTCTGATACAATTTTAAAACTCAAGTAAATGAAATGATACGAACTGCTGTACATTCCATTGCTCCATATGCACATTATTTCATTAAAAATTACATTTAAGTGGTACGTATTGCTGCAGCCATTGCGCTCACTACTGCTTGCACAAGGGGAACTGCCCTAACTATATTTTCTTTTCCACTTGTGGTTCTTAATTTCGTCTAGCAACTGTTAGCAATTCCTAGATTTAAACATCTTTATATTTCTGGCT